CAGTGATGACATTGTGATAATTTTTATTAGAATGAGACATACATCTCAAAGACTTTAGTTGTATTGCTTCAAAATGCCAAGGAAAAGTAACTCCTAAAAATGTCATTTTTACTAAAAAATCTAATTTTATTTTTCTCCCTTCCTAGAGATCTGCTCATAAGAAAGGAGGAAAGTTGTAGCATTAATTTGTGAACTCTTATGGTCTTGCTAGTTGTTTAATCCGTAGAAATTTTGCCTTCCCGGCAAGAACAGGAGCTCACTGCCATCTGGCACTTTCTCCAAATCCCCTCATTTAGCCTCCGAACACCCCGTGGGTTGTCAAGGTTCTGCCATGAGCATTGTGCCCCAATCTAGCGTGTTATTCTCGTCTCTTGGCTTAAGATGTTGTGCCTTGCAAAAGGTTTCTGTGAGCAAATCCTTGAGTAAAATGCGCTACCCCTTTTCAGGAGGGCCTGAATATGGTTTTCACAAGGCCTATTACGGGGCCTTATACCTCATTATCATCTACAGGAGAGTCATTGTGTGTCTTGTAATGAAGGCTAAATTCATATTTTTCATCACCTGATTAGTATTTCTGAATTGGCTCTGGTGCCAAAAGGAATATTTTCCCTTACTGTTTCTTCTTTTCAGTAGTAATATAAACATAATAAAAAGCAATAGAAGGAGCATCCCCTTTCCAGAAACAAACAAAAACCAATTATGGTCAATCCAGAGGGAAATCTTCAGGGGCAAGAGCCAAGAAATGCAGAGAGAAAGCTGAATGCCTCTGCTTTTATCTGTTCTCCCTGCTTAGCTTTTAGGATCGTATTTTTCACATCCCAGTTTGGATTTTTTCATGCCCAGGTTGGAAGGAAGAAATTTTATCACCACGTGATTGATGTGTTGAAATGTATGAAATTTAATCAGAGCGGGGTCCATTCTTGGTAGGGCTGTCATGATGCATTCTGGCTATAGGTCGAAATGGGAGAGGGAGCTCTAGGAAATAAACCTCTTCTGATCGCTAATGAAGCCCTGGCTTGGTAATTCCCCTTTCCTTGACTGTAGGCAAGAAGAACATGCCTGGAGAATATGTTACAGCCAGTGGGTAGAGGGGGCTTAGATGCTGCAACAACTGCCGCAGGCCGTGGCCACTGCCACCACCTTGCTATGAGAGTCCCAGCTGGGGCCTCCAGTCACACTCCTGCCCTTGCTCCACTCTGCTGTTTGGTGCGAGGGGCTGACCTTTATCTCTGCGGGCTCCCCGTGCTTGGTTTGGCCTTTGGCTGGTTTTCTTGCTTTGATTCTCACTAATAACACTATAATGCTTTCTTCTCTCTTCTGTTTATCCTAGTTGTGTCTAATGTAAAATTGCTTTCCTTATTTCTCTGGCTTCTGATTAGAGGGAGATTTGATGTGAGGGAATCTTGTGTTCCTCTTGGCTTTAGGCACATGGGCAGTATCCCCAACAGTGGTTGCACCTATGGGGTCCTCTAGGTCTTTCCCCCAGGTTTCAGGGTTCACCAGGACCTGTGGACCCGTGGCTCAGATCCTGCAAATGTTCCTTTTAATGCCTGCTTTCCCAGGGCTTCCTGTTTTGCTAACATCAGGTTAGTTCAGAGTGACTGTAAAATCACTTCCTTGCATTACTTTTTTTTTTTGTGATCGGTACTGAAAGTCATTACCATTTGCCTAGATGGTCTTACTGCGGCCCCTCTCCCTGGTGTATTTATCTTGGCCCTGATCAGACAGTTTTTCATTGCTACATGTTTTATTATTGGTTTTTAGAAAGTTAATCCTGACCAAGCATATTACATGATGCCATGTGTAATCTCACAGGTTGATAAGAATACTTATTGCTGGAAATTTATCAGATCAAGCCTGATGCCTGATAATCTAGTTGATTTAGATGCATTTTGCTCAGTGTACTTTAACCAAACAGAGCATAGACTGTTTCTGTGTGTGGGCAGATGTCTCTAAAAGAAAGAGCAGGTGGGATGGTATAATTGTACCTGCAGTGTAGACACTAGAGTGAGCTAAACCTGGACTCGGTTCTCAGCAAGCTGTATGAGTTCAGGTGAGTCCCTGCGTGTCTCCAGTCTTGGTTTTCTTAGTTTTGTAAAGTAAAAATAATAAGATAAGGAGACAGCACAGTTAGAGGAGCGTGGCATACATGTAAACCCACCCATAGGACTGGTGTTCTAATTTCAATTATCACCAGTGTCACTGTTTACTTTAACCATGCATAAAATGAAATTATCTCCCTTATTTCTCTGTAGCATATCTAAGATGAAATTCTCAAAAGGAAATTTACTGAAAACCCATGGTAAATCATAAAGGAAATGAATAAGTGGACCCAACAGCAACCTAGCCACACTTACAGTGCAGGGGTCTATGAACTGACCTTGGCCAGTAGTTGTTCCCCAGGGATACAGTCTGCCTGTCAGAAATGTCACTGTGTATCTCATGACACATACTGCCACGTACCAGTGGTTCTTAGAGTGTAGAATATTGCCTACCTGAATGTAGTGCCCATTTCAGAATTAAGCTCCCATACCTCCAAAACAGCACCTTCCCTTCTCTCATCTGATGTGTTCTGGAGTTTTTATTTAAATGAAGGGCCGTGCCCTCCTCCCAGCATCCATTTATGGTATTGCCCCTCCACCTAAACTCTTTGAGCTGGAAAATGTTCTGAGAACACACTGCCTTTCAACAGATTAAACAGCCTCTTGGTCCTGCAGCTGGTACTAGGATTACCTAGCTAAAAGACAACCTTGTGTACATTTTAGGGCTTTAGAAGTGGCAAATCAAAGGGAACATTCTTGTTGAAGCTTGATGCTTCCCTGGCTTCAGTAACGCTTTCTTTTCAGGGTTCCAAGGAACCAAAAGGGAGCTGTCCAACTCTAAACTAGGGACTACTTGTTAGCCTTTTGTTAAAACAGAACCATTTCTATAGAAACAAATAAAAAGACAATCTTCAAATAACGTTTCATTGAGCCTACCAAACAATAATCATCTATCATCCATCTCGAAGCATGGGCACCCTCTTTACAGCACATCACCAGCATCTCAAAGACTACTGCAAAGAAAGTAGATGTTTTGTAGAAAACAAAAGGTAACCTCAAAAGTTAACCCATTATCTATCTACTCTAGACCGCCTTTCTCTAAGATAGGAAGAGAAATGGGTTTTTACTATTATTTTCAAGAAAAACCAGAGACTTTTACGGTTAAATATATAACTAGGCATAACCCCCGGTGTGTAAATTGAACTGTGTAATGTACAGAGGGGTTGCCTGCGAAGTGGGAACCAGCTGAGAGATTCACAGCATGCTTAAACTACACATTTCCAGCACCCTGGTGTAGGATGCTCTGGAGTTTTGAACATTGTCTCGGGTGACACGCCATCACAGAATTCTCCCTGTGTTCTTCAGGGCTTTGTTAACAAAGTGTGTTCACGATTCTTCTCTCATTCATGGCTCTTTTATAAGAGAACCCAGGTTTTTTCAAAGCAAAGTTGTACTCCATTTAAAGTCACTATTGAATTGGACCAGGCTGACATTCCTTGGTCTATGCTGTGCTGCTAAGAAACTGTCACAGTGCTTAACACTGTGCTGTAGAGATGTCAAGGTGGGGGAGGCCAACTAGATGCCAGTGAGATGATGAAAATGTTGAAATAAGTAAGTTCCATGAGATTGCAGTCATTCTAAATAGTTTTAAAAGCTTGTTATTCTTTTCTTTTTCCTTGATTCTATTGTGTTTAAAGCACCAATCCTCTTTAAATTTATTCTTGATAAAAAATATAATAAATTAATAACCTTAGGTGCGTTAGTTTGGAAGTCTGAAATGTGTCTCACTGTGCTAAAGTCAGTGTGAGCAGGACTGTTTCTTCTGGATGCTGGGGGTGGAATCTGTCTGCATGCCTATTCTATTGTCCAGAATTCTAGACTGCGTCTGCCTGTCTCCTTGGCTTTTTTGGCCAGCTGAGTCAGGCCAACACCTCCTCTTGCTGCTCGCTCTGGTTCTGACTCATGCTTCACTTGCCTGTCTTTTAACACCATTATGATTTCATTGGCCCACCAGGTACCACCGAAATAGTCCTTAATCATAGATCTTCTTGTCGTATAACCAACCATCTGCAGGTTCTGGGGATAAAGTCATGGACCTCTTCAGAGGATCACTGTTCTGCCTATTGCAGTCTCATGAAAAGTAAACTGCCCTCTCACCTTCTGGAAGTGGCAGAAGCAGCATTGTATTACTGGTGACTCCACCAGATTTACCTGGACATATCTTTTCCCTCCATTGGGAAATGCCACTACCAGATATTTCAGAGAATGAGCAAAGGGGTCTGAGTAAGACTGGAGGGCTCAGTTGTGTAGCTAAGTAGCAAACAATTTCCCTGGAATTCAAGGCAGACCTCCAGCTGAAGAATGCAGATAATAGAGCTGATCGCTCATGAAATCCTGAAAATGGTACAAGACTATCACATAAGAGATAATTCTCGGGAGTTCTAGGAGCCTTAGTGCACAGAGCCAACATGAAGTCATGTTTGAAAAGGAAAACTTTCTTAAAAATAAAAATTGCTAAAAGAAAATTCAACTACACAAATGAGAATGAAATATCTCATTTTCACTCAAACCAATACTTTATCCCCCTTCCTCAAATAGGTCATTTTAATCTCTTGTTTATCTTTATCTTGTTTTCCCTTTCCCCTGCTCTGATGTTTGTTATGCTTTGTGTGGATACTTACTCCCTCTAAGCCTACAAACATCTGTCTAATCATTCCTGTTTGGTTGGGTTTTTTTTCATTTTTAATAATTTATATTTAAATGTTGGCAAATTGAATGGTCTAATTTTGCCCTTTGAATGCCAATGCATTCAAGTTCCTTAGGCAGCTTTTATCTTTTTGTTTTTAATTCTGTTTTGAGTTTTAAGAAAATTGCTATTTCTTATTATCCCCCAACCCATAATTTTCTTTACAGAACTTTTTGTTTAATTTTCTTTTGCTTTGACATTTTATTTTTCAGACACCTCTCATTGAACCTCACGTTCCTCTCCGTCCTGCTAACACCATTACCAAGGTAATGGGATGGAGGTGGGTTGATGAGCCATCCAAGCTCGCTTCTTAGGGACCGCTGGAGGTGGTCCGTGTGTCAGAGCATCACGTCAAGAAACCTCTGATCCATTTTCTAGAGACAATGAATATTCAGTGCAATTCAGTTTTCAACCTAAAGCAGTGACATGTCACCCAAGTGAGCAATGTAAATATGTATGAGTTATGTTTTTCTAGCCAGACTCTGATTAGAAAGTGATTTAAGGATTCATCCAGTTTGTTTGTGTCTGTAAAGTCTTCTTCTTTCTCCTCCCTTCTTTCCACATGATTAAAACCCAGGTTCCTTCAGAGAAGATCCTCAGAGCTGGAAAAATTTTACGGAATGCCATCCTCTCTCGAGCACCTCACATGATAAGAGACAGGAAATACCACCTAAAGACATACCGGTATGTGTGCTAACTCTAAAACCTGTGATTCCCCTCGCATTCATGTTTACTGAAGTGGAACAAACACTTTCTGTTTTCCAACTGGGGGAAGCTTGCTTTACAATGCCCCCAGGTTCTGGAAGACAGAAGCTTGTCTTGGATCCCTGCTAAACTCTTGAGTGTTCAATTACCCTTAATATTCCAGGAGCAGTAACTCCTTCACTAATTTGTTTAAACATTAGTTTAACTGTAATGAACAATAAGAAGAAAATTTTTTTATTTCTATATGCTAATGTCTTTTAGGAAACCTCCTAAATTTAGATGGCATTCATCTGACATTCACTGAGCACTAATTTGTACTTGAAGACCTGTACCAGGCAACTCTCCATGTGTTATCCCATTTCATCCTCCTCACACCCCGCTAGATGGGGTTGACAAAACCAGGTCAGCTCAGAGAGATCAAATAGCTTTCCTTGTCCAAGTCACAAGTCTAGTGAACAGCAGAACCGGCACCTAAATCAAGATTTGTTTATTTCGAAAATAAGTGATCTTTCATTCATTGAGTCATTCTACAAATTTATTAAACACCTCTTGAGTGCCAGATACTATTATGTTCCAAGCCCTAAGAAGATAGAAGTGAATCAAATATACAAACTCTTTTATGCAACCTGTTTTCCAAGGTAAGATTTTATTCTAATGTGCACACAGAAAGATATACAACACTTTCACTTGTATAATTAGATTGAATAAGGACTCTTCATTATAGCTGTTGCTGGAGCTCAAAATTGACAAAGATGAAGACGTTGAGGACTCTGTGGTTAGTGGTGTCTTCTGCAGTGCCTGAACGCTGGTGGGCCAACAAAAATCTCAGACTTAAATCTTACGTTTGATTTGATCCATTCGATAAATGTTAGGAACTGGAGTAAACAATGTGTGACGCAGTCCTTCACTGCCTCTTCCTGAGCCTGTGGTCCAGACACAGCCCTTTTTCAGCATCCATCCAGCCCCTCTTTCCCAGTTAGCCTAGACATGACTTCAGAAACCATGAACCGTGGCATGAGTCAAAACCTGTTTGACTCACATGAACCAAATGCATAAGACACAGTGAAAAGCTAGAATACAAATTTTAACACTGATAACGGACAATCACCTATGACAGAAAATTATAAAATTATACCTTGTTCTCCCTAAAAGAGACCTGCCACATACATGCATTTCAAGATCCAGTCCCTAGAGGGCATATGGGAAAATACTGAACGTCCCGCTTTAAATCACTGTTTCTGCAAGCCATACATGCTAATGGTAAAAGACCAAAATTGACAGTCTGTTGCTTTTAGTCTGTCCTCTGCTGGATAGACTTTTGTTGAGGGGATGGGATTGGAGAAGCACTTTGATCTTCTACAGCACATTTCTCTCAGGAGACATTTCACATCTTATAACAGATTGGCTATCAAGGTCTTTTGTGATTTGTACCAGCTACTAATTTGGATGATTACATTCGTAAGTCTTTTTCTCCAACTCTGAAAATTGATTCTTTTTGGAATCTGTGACCCCTATGAACAGCTATAATGTTAAGGTAAATAAAGGATTTTTTTAAAAAAAATCATGTTTCCCATATCCTCAGGGTTAAACCTCTTAAACTCATTACTTGAATCTCAAAATCTAGCATGACTAGAGGATCTTTTTCTTTTAAATGTTTTATTTAAGATGTGATTTTGTTTTTCCAAGTATTGACTCGTATTAGGGAAATTCCACTAAATATGTCATGTTTGGTGACAAATAATGGAAAGTAAAAGTCAGAAACTATAATCTCTTGCTCCATAATACTAAGATTTTAAACCCCTAAAATGTAGGTGTTATGTCTGTTCCACACCCTATGACACAAATTAATGATCTGTTAGTAATGACCAGTAGACTCCTCTGGAAGCCCAGAGGCGTGACTTCTTTTCCTGCAGTACAGTTTGAAGTCCTTGCCCCAGATTTTATATTTCACAGCTCTATCTTCTGTCCCTGTCCTGTTTACTCACCCCATTATATCAATGCTGTAGTAACATGAAGGGGTCAAAACCTCTCCAGATACAGTATGGTCCCCACGCGACCTGTTGTGATTCCAAAGTGCTATGGATCCTTAATGGAAAGGACACCCAGTGTGTCCACCAGCTACAAATGGCATAGCCGTGTCTTCATTCCATGTACTGACTGCAGTGTTCTCACAGGACTCAGGTGCTCTGGGGCCAGCTCCATCTTTTTTAGTAAAGACAATTATTGAATTAAAAACCAAATGAAATGCAATTTTGTGTACCTTTATAAGCTTTTACCATTAATAAATTCTCCAATTACAAGAGGTACATTTTGACACATTGTGTGTTTGGTGCAGTGTGAGTAGTAAGTAGCTGCTTGTTTGTCCCTCAAAGCTCTGAGATGTGGACATAGGCTGGAGTGAGAACAGACCTTCTCAGGACGTCCTCCCTGCTCTGGAATCAGTGTCATCCCCAAGTCAGAGCCTCCCAGGAGTTCTAACAGATCTCCAAGATGCTAGAATATTTGAAGTGGAGAAGGCCTCACAGACCATCTTGTGCTCCTCCTTTCTTTTACAGATGAGGAAACTGAGGACCAGAGAATTGGCCAAAGTCCGTAACTAATGACTAGCAGACTCAGGGCTGTATCTCACATCTCTCTGTTTCCAAGACTCTTTCTAAAGTGGCCAGCACCAGGCATCTCCTCCAGTGTAAACTAGAGAGGAAGGAGCTCGTGCCCAGAGGTTGTGCCCTCCTTAGCGTGTGCAGGGAGGTCACTAGTGATTAGTCCCAGCTGCAGGCAGCCAGGTGCTTTATGGCTCCTGCCCTATTCCAGTGTCCCTTGGGATCTAGGATTTCAAGATTCCACTTCCTCCTTTGAACCAGCCTCCAGGAAAACCTGCCCCCCTGTCACCCCACTGATGGTTTCAGTATTTTCCAGCATGCACAGGTGTGTGTGATTATGTATTTCATAACTAATGGAGTTAACTTGCCCATCCAGGCCAGCTTATCACTGAGGGGCATTTTAGGCATTGTGTGAACACACAGAATGCCAGAAAGCATTTGGTGCTCTTAGGCATCAGCCTTCTGGAAGTGCTCATGCTTATTCCACAGAACTTTTTTCTGAGAGATTTGCGTGGCTAATTGCTTGTGTTTCCCAACACCCCTCCAAGGAAAATCAGTAGTATTACTTGAAACTATAAAGTGCTAGATAATTTTGCACTTATACAGCAACTTCATGGAGTACTTCTGTGTGTCTCACACACATCAACTCAGTCCCCACAAGGCTCAGTGACAGAAGTTGGTGTCATGCTTTGCTTTCACCTTACGATGAACTTTTCCTTACAATGAACTTTTCTGGACTCAGCTCACAATGATGGTTTCTGTCCCTGTGATTAGCTTGCCAGATAATGCCCCCTATCTAGTGGTCCTTCCATTTCCCCTAATACCATGTACTATAATGCTGTTCTGCTTTGACAGCCTTGCTTAAAAGTTTCTCACGAGCTATGTGGATTGATTGATGTGTATCTGAGTTTAAAGAACCGTGCAACCCCATGTGGTGTTTGTTTGCCGTGAAACCTCTTAGATGGAACGACACTGTTGTCTTGAGAGGTCCTCCTCTCCACAGATGTTTCCTATCCTGTGTCTGCAAAGGGGTAATTGCCCCACCCTGTGTGTCCCCTCACCCTTAGACAATGCTGCGTCGGCACCGAGCTGGTGGACTGGATGCTGCAGCAGACTCCGTGTGTTCATTCTCGGACTCAGGCTGTCGGCATGTGGCAAGTCCTGTTAGAAGACGGTGTCCTCAACCACGGTAAAAAGAACCACAGTCCCTGGAAAACCCTCAAGAACTACTAAGTGCATTTCCCTGTGTGAGCTGTTGCTGAACTCGTAAATGAGCAGGAAAGAATCACGATCCCCTGGGGCACGCGCCGAGCTAGCATCTTTATTTAGCAATACAAATGCAGCAAATGGATGCTACTGATGTCTAGGTTCCGCCATTGTACCTTTCTAACTCTGGAGAACCAAGGACAGGGGGATGAAATTGCAGCCCCAATGCATCACTTCCAATTATGTTTATTAGTTTGCAGTCACGGTTCATTGATAGTGTGATTACATCCTGAGCATTGCATAGCAATCTGGGTGCAAGGGCAGAATGAAGAGCAGGGTAGCTCGGCTGATGACACCAAAGTAAGTAGAGAATTCAGAATCGGCCTCTTAACTGTGCTGCTGACTGGAGGAGCCAATCATACACCCACGAGATGACCATGTTTAAAATCAGGAATGTGTGCTGCAGCTGCAGATCTAGTAAGTAAGGCAGCTTTCCCTGAGCCAAGTGTTCATTCGAGATTGACTGGCATGTTTCTGAGACTGAACTGCTCATGTCATTTGTTTAGGAACACTTTGCCAAATAAACAAAATCATCCATTTCATTTTTCAGCTCCTGAGAACCTAACAATGGTTTACCAGTGTATTCTCTTTTTTTGGGTGACTGTGAACAACAATCACATTGGGGTTCTTATTAAAATGCTGATTCTAATTTAGCATGTCCTACAAAGATCTAGATCTTGGTGTTAACAGGACCAGGAAGGGCTGAGCGTGCAACTCTGTGGTCAGTGAGCTGCATGCATGAGGCCCTGGGCTCAATCCCAGCTCCAACCCTGAAAAAGTAAATACATTTTTTTTAAAAGAAAGAATAGAAAAAGAGGGAAAAAAACTTTTAAAAATCAGAACTATCACAAAACTATCCTAGGAGTCCATGAGCTTAGTCTGGCCACTTTTGGTCATTTGATTCATGAGTTCATTTTCTTCTCTGTTTTTAAAGTGTAGGGACAGGAATTTTTATAAACAGTACATATACAAAAGAAAAGCATAAATTCTCACCCTACAAAAGCGTTTTCATATGTGTACTTGGAAAATCCAGTCTTGGCATGATGTCATATGGCAGTCACTTGTTTGGGATGTATGTCCCCCACCCGAAAAAAGGTCACCAAGGCAATTTTGGGGGTGGAAGTGCTCATGTCAGAGAAGCTGGCAGGTTCTCAGCAGGAGTATTGAGCGGCCAGGGGACGGGTGGGTCTGGAGAGTGTGATGTAGCCAGGAGGGGCTGATCTCGCAGCTGCCCCACGGGCGGACTGGGCGGAGTATGCAGGGTGCCCAGTCACTTGGCTCTCTTGCCCAACAGTATGCTTCTGGTGACCCAACCTGTGGGTCCCAGCCACAGCTGACACTGCCTTTATGTTTCCCATAGTGGATCAGGAGCACCATTTCCAAGACAAATATTTATTCTATCGATTTCTGGATGATGAGCATGAGGATGCCCCTTTGCCTACTGAGGAGGAGAAGAAGGAGTGTGACGAGGAGCTCCAGGACACCATGCTGCTGCTGTCCCAGATGGGCCCCGATGCCCACATGAGGATGATTCTGCGCAAACCGTGAGTGAGCTTGAGGCTGGCTGGCCCGGGACCAGGGCTGCTGACTGTGCAGATGCACCTAGGACTAGGGGGCACAGGGCCGATTGCAAAAGTCCTGGCTTCTCCCATGCCCAGGCCAGAGAGCAACAACCAAGGGGAGACACAGCAGTGTTTGCCTCTGTTTTACTTTTATTTTGGGGTCAAATAACCCATTTCTGCTCTGATAAGTTAAACTTAGAGAAATCTTACTTGGGCAGCCCTGGCTGTCAAAAACGAATCCCCATGCTAAACAACCTTTGGCCAGTGACAAAGAAAAAAGCCACTGTTTCTGTGCCAGACAGTGGCAGACCTGTTCATCCTAGTACCAGGGGACAGAGGTCATCAGAACCATTGCTGCCCTCGAGCCAGTGTTTGCACACATGCGGGCATCACTTTATTCACTCACGAGGTTTGTCTTGCCCTCCATTCTGCACCACACACCCACCGAGAACACCACTGCTTCCCCACCACCACTTCCATCTCCACTGAAAACTGCCTTCCGTCAGCAGCTGTCCACCAGCTGACACTGGAGCTCTTGAAATGATCAATCGGATCAACTCATAAAATACACCTGGGGCCCTGTCAGAAGTAGCGAATTCTGCTGATTGCTATGAGGCATCCAAAGCAGCACACACCACAGTCCCCATCTGCAGGGAAACCTTCGCCACAAGGGGGATGGCTTGGCACTTGGTTCTGAAATCCCATACACAGACTATGTTTTTCTGCTGGAAGTGAAATCACGCTCCACCCTGCTATTGGTGCCAGCCGGCTGTGGATGTCAACTCTGAGTCACTGGCGTGGCCAACCTTCATTTATTATTGGGTCTCAACAAGAGCATTAAATTGACACGTGTGATGTGTCCGCTGGGCACTTTGCAAGAGGCAGTTGTCCCTCAGACCAACTTCCCCAATGTCTACCCTCAGACCAACTCACAATAGCCGCTCTGAACATAGCTTTATCTCCCTTCCCCAGGGTTCTTTCCCTTTCACTTGCCCATACTCAGTGCTGCAGAGGCTTTTCATCACATTTCATTTTTGTCACACCATGTCACCTTTGTCAAGACTTTCTCTTGGGTCTTAATCTCCTGTGCCGCGTGTTTCAAAGGCCTTCCCTCATCCCAGTTGGTACCATCACCTTAACTCTAGAACCATGGTTTCAGCTCTTTATGCCTCAAAACTCTTTCTTCAAACAAAAATTTAACAGGAAAATCCAAAATATCAAACGGAAAGTCAGAGTTTTCCTGACCTAAGCAGAAGTAGGGTCCAAGAAACCTGCCCAGCCAATTTGTGCTGCACACATCCTGAAGAATCGTAGGGGCGGGTGACTGAGGGCACACAAGAGAATCCCTAGGGCTTTGGGAACTCAAAAAGACAACGCCATTCTAAACGTTTCTCTCTTGCCTGTCAGCCTGTCTCGCCCCTCTGGTCTCATTGTCCATCACTTGTCCTTTCACATCATTTCCTGGGTCTGTCCCCTTTCTGCCCTTCTCCTCACTGTCACCTTCATTCAAGCCAGCGTCATGAGGTGGTTCTGAATCAGGTAAGACAGTCCCTTAAGGAGCATTATTTTGGTCATCATAGCACATCACTGGGCAGCACTAGTATTCACTGGGCAGAGGCTAGGACCAAGGAATACCAGTCACATGACACTGTATAAAATAAAGAGCTGCCCCCCAAATAATGCCCTGCCCCCAAAGTAATGTCCCTGCTGAGAAATTTTCCTATAAACTGAGTTTCCTAGAGGCAAAGGCACATCTCATTTTCCCCGATTTACTCATTCACTCACCAGTATTTGTTGAACACATTTGTTCTTGACACCATGGTAGATGCTAAAGCCTGAAGGGAAGCCTGAAATAGGAGGGTTGCTCCTCCTTTCTTCAGTGATGCAGGAGGCCGATCTCAAGACCTGTAGGCCACCGTTTATCACAGCCGTGTTACAAGCTGCACGGGAAAAGGTAGTGTGTTAACACAACATCCTGAGGAAGGGGAGTTTGACCTTGGTCGAGTAGAAAGGCTAAATCTCTGCCTCCGCATTACCTAGGTCACCCGCAGACAAGCCTTTGCCGTAGACTTCCCAATGCAGTTGTAATCCAAGAGGAGAGACACTTTCAAGTTAGATTCAGAGTGAATAAACATTTATTTTATTGAGTGGTACAAACACTCTGGCTTATCATAAGAGACTTCAGAGCTGGCTTGCAATGAGTCATCGTGGAGATGGGCATCCCTGCCTCCTTTTTCTTCCATAAAGTACTGAATTATGTGAACCCTGGTAGCCTAAGATTCTTCAGAGAAAATTAAATTCTGAAGCTCAGCTCTTCCATTCTATCATTGGCTGCCAAGGTAGAGGTTTTACTGGTATTCCAAAATACATCATTTTGGGTGGGCCTTGGGGTTTTGCCAGTTTTGTTTTGTCTTGTTTTTAATTCTGCAGACATTGGAATTGGGCTGGAAATTCTTCTCTAAAGGTCTTAGCTTTTCTTCCTATTGGAATGATAGGAAAGAAATGAGAAAGTGAAAAATAAAGAATATATTTCAGTGAGACAGACATTTAAACTCTACATACATATACCCCACTTGTAGACCTGGTAGTAATCTTTGCAATTACTGCTGTACTTGAAAGGAAAAAAATAAATGTAATTGATTTTTAAAATGCCAGTATCACTACTATCCTGGGAGAGATCAATTAAGTCCTTTGCTCCTGGGAATAGAACATGTTCAAAGGTCCTAGAAATGTCGCTCCTGCTCCCCAAACTGCCAAGTAATTAAGAAGTATGAAGCTGTGAGATACATTGCCTCAATGCTGACCAGGACAAGACCCCCAATTTTAAACTCAGCACAGCTGCATTTTATAATAGTCACCACTGCCAGAGAGGTTGCAGAACTCTGATAATTACTGGGAAAGAAATAACACAATATTCTTTGATGAGAAGATTACTTTGAGAATTTGATTGTATAATGAAGATGTTGCTTTGAAAGGTACTTCCCATTGTTCTGAATCTAAGACTCGCTAGCCAAAAAAAAAAAAAATGTCACTTGTTTTGACAGGCTACTTAGAAAAATTCTCTGTTTATTACATTAACTGCAGCATTTTAACTGTCAAACTATGAAAGAATGTTCTGTAGTTTAAAAAACAGAATAGAGCTTCAAGGCAAATTTCTTTGGCACACTCTTGTTGCTATTGGTATTGAAAAAAACATACATTCTGAATGTGAAATTAGCTTTCTATGTGGTGGCAGACAGAGTGATTCACAATGCCCATCCTGGTTACGCAGGTGCAGACCTGGCTGGCATTTGGGGGCAAGTGCTACAGAACGGTGACAGTTTGACGGTGCTGTTGTTGCAGCCCCAAGACAGTGCCATCAAACACACAACATGCTCTTGGAGCTTACTGTTTTGATTTTGCTTTGTTTATAAGTCTAAAAACAAGAGGTTACCCTATGGCAGAGAGACACAGTAGAGACCCCTACCAGCAGAAATGTGCATGTTGGTTACATTTAAGCAGGTACCCTGGATTGGATGCCTTGGGCAAAAAGACATGGAGTGACCAGGAAAGCTGGACACAAAGAACCTTAAAGGAGAACAAATGCTCTTGCCATACAAGCCTTCATTCAGATGCCTCCTCCCAAGTAAAGTAGGCATAACACCCCACTATTTAGAAGACTCTATCAAAAGCTCTTAGAGAATGCGAAGGAAATGAAGTAGATGGTTCTTCTCAAGACTAATTCTGGGTCTGCAGTTCTGAAATTCCCTAAGAGCCTAGAGGCTTAAATAGTTGAGAAAGCAATAAGCCCATTGTGCCTGAGCAGAGGAGAAAGAATAACACAAGAAAATTATGTTATTGTAACATAAGGGAATTGTTGCTAGGCTCTGGTGTCTTCAAATGGATCTAAAACTCAGAAAATTGAGTTCATTTACTTCATATGGTAAATTAATATTTTTCTAATGTATCCTATGGAGCATGGATGGAAAAGAAACAGTTTAAAACGGATCAAGTGGCATGAGAAAGTATGAAGCTAGAGAGAAAAGGTTGCTTCTCTGTCTGCATCCATTGGTTGTCCTAATACCTGACAACCCTGCAGAGCCAACCCCGCTTTACACACATGCTCCAGAAGGCACATGGGAGGCTATGCATTTTCTCCTAACTGACAGAACTTGTTTTAATAGGATCTTTATTTATCCAAACTGTTTTGGAGGGTGTGAAGTGTGAAATCCTGGTAATTACAAGGAGATTTATTTCCTCAGGGGATCTCAGATTAGCAAGCCTAAAATCAGTGGCACTGAGAGTTTGATTTCTATTTGGATGTATCCAGAGTGTTCACAGTCACGAAAGCCATTCCTCAGTCATTCCTCAGTGCTAAGTGGATGAAAAGAAAGCATGAATGAAAAGCAACAAGGACTAATCTTAAGACAGAAATGCGCCAGGAGCCCTTCTCTTCTGTCTGGCCAGTGTTGCCTTTGTTTTTGCTGTGCCTGCAGGGCAGGTTTGTACAATTTGCCTGAACCAATGATTTCATTAAGTGGGTCGCTTCTTGACTTTGGATTTGCATCTTGCCTGAAAGAGCACTATCTCGCTTTCCCCTGTGTCTGCTTCCAAGCTGGCTGGGCCGCTGCCACTCTGCTTCAGACTCGGGAGAGGGCAGGGTGGACTTGGCTGCCCATTTACAGTTCAGGTTCATTATAAGATTATTTCAAGTTTTAATGACTTGTTATTAAAGTCACTCTGTTCACTGGAGAAAATCTGAAAGCTACTGCAAAGAATTAAAGTAGAATAACTAACACCTGTAATCCCTTTTCCCAGAGATAATTGCTATTAATATTTTTGGTGGCTATTACTCTAGTGATTTTTCAATTCCTGACTTTTTACATTTAATAATACCTTGTACTTTGTTAAACTTAAACATTTCTTATGGCTGAGATTTTTAAGTAGGTACAGAATAATCTATCCTGTGGGTCTTCCTCTGTGCATTTATTTTTCCATGGTTG